CTGGAGGGAAGGAGTTTGCCAGGCTGAGCAGGCGCGGTGTTGACTCTAGGCTGGGGAAGATTGGCATAGGCCCAAGGCCAGTGGAGGTCAAGGAGCTGGGTCAGAGGGGACTGGGTCTTCTTCAGTTCTTGCTGTGTGTTATGGAATCGATTTTGACTCTTAGCAACCTCGTAGCACAGAGTAGAACTTCCCCATGGGGTTTCCTAGGCTGGTATCTGAGCAGACTGCCAGGTCTTCCTCCCACCGGGCAGCTGGCGGGTTCAAACCACTGACATCTTGGTTAGCAGCTGAGTGGCTAAACCGTGTGCCACAAGGCTCCTTCTTTATGCCTTGGTAGGGACATAATCTCCAAGAGCCATTAGAGGCCTCTGTGGGACCAGAGATGATGGAGAAAGAAATCCAGGGCACGGGATGGCTCCCCCTCTCCCCTCTGGGCCTGCAGCCTGACAGCGGGGCACAGGGCTCTGAGAGGGCCGGGGGCCGGGCCCCACCATGCAACCAGCACAGGTCTTCAGCTCTTCCTATGCCGGCAGGCACGGTGCCAGGGACACTGAGTAAGTCATGGACTTTGCTCTCAAGGAGTCTGGGACCAGCCCGAGGATAAGATAAACTGGAAGGCTGGACAGCCTCCACAGAATGAGATAAGGGTGGTGGGCGGGGCCCACAGCGAGCTGATGGGCCTCATGGGAGGGGTGTATGGAGGGGCGCCTGAGCTCAGCCCAGGGAGCAGCCCGGACAGTGAGTAAGGAAAGCTTTGCTTGGGATGACAGTGTTGTGGGGGCTGGAGCAGGGAGCTGGATGCAGGTAGGCCACATAGGGTTCCTCGGAGGGAGAAGTCAACTTGCTGTGTGACTTTAGCAAGATGCTCACCCTCTCTGAGCTGGGTCCTTGTCTCCCACACGGGCTCCCTCACTGACCCTGCAAGGTGGTGGGAGGATTCGTGGTGACGTATGTGGGTGCCCAGCGCACAGAAAGGGGTCAAGGAGAGTCCCTGCTGTGAAGCAATTTGGGCTTTATTCCTAAGTCTGTTTTCAATTTTCATTAAGCAGCAATGTTTTCATTTAGATGGAAGTTCTGCCAAGAGCCCACTGCGTGAAAGGCCGGCACTAGAGAGACTGCTGAGGAAGGCTAAGGGGATGGGGGTCATAGTCTTGTCCACTTGCTGCCCCCAGCATCAGAGGTGGCCCTGGGACTCCCTTGGGAATCCTGGGGGCTGGGAGACCCACTCCGCATGGCTGGGCCAGGGGAGCCCAGAGAACAGAGAAGGGAAGGCTGGCTCCAGGAGCCTGTCCTCTGGGGTACAGCACAAAGTCTGGGACCCAGAGCATTCAGTCCCTCAGCCACACTGGCCATCGGGGAGCTCCTTCAGTGTGCCACGACCTTCAAGATCCATCTAGCAGACCTTTACCGAGCACGGCCCTTGGCTCAGCCTGGGCTGGGACTGAGCTCTGAGGGGTGGAGAATGGAAACACCAGGAGAAGTAGTAATGTCGGGGTACAGTGCTGGAGGGACCTCGGGCTGCTGGGGTGCCCACGAGGGCACCGAGGGTCAAATGGGCTTCAAGAAGGCTTCCTGGAGGTGGCAATGCTTGAGCAGTTTGCAAGCGTTAGTATTGAGTGAGCCGGGCAAAAAAGCAGGGAAGGGTGTTCCAGGCAGAGGGAACAGTGTGGGCAAAGCACAGAGGCACGCCACCCACCATAGCAGTTGAGTCTCACCAGAGAGAAGATGGAAAGGGGGGAATGAGATGGGACAGAGTTGGGGCTTGGGGTGCTGCCCCAGGGCAACGAGGTCTGGGCAGCCTGCCAGACACCCCCAGCCAGCCCTGCCCCTGTCCCCGCAGGTCCTGGCGGCTGTCATTGAGGCGAACATACCTGTGACCTATGGAATTGGCAGCCAGAGGGGAGCCAGGGGCACTGGCTGTCAATTCATAGGTCAGAGCCCTGTACACTCGGTCCTGGCAGCCAGCCACCATCTGCCATCCATCCTGGGCCCTGCGGTCTGTGGCCACCTCTCCTCCTCCGGGGGTCCTGGCCCCCACCCCAGATAACAGCAGCCCCACTGGAAACAGTGAGCACTTCCACATGGAGTTGCTGTTACAGGGGGTGGGAGCCCCTTGGAGGCCTGGGCCCTGCCCACCTGGCTGCTCTCCTTGGGCAGGGGTCCGGGAAGCACCCTACACCCACCCACCTGAGTCCCCGGCCCCCGTGCCCCAGGTGTATGGTCTTTTTACCAAGGCTCTTCCTATCTGGGGCCCACACCCGACACCTCTGATGCCAACACTCCTTCCCCGGGCGAAGTCCAGGCTCAACCCCAAATCTGCCCCATAAAGCCGGGAGTGGCCCCGATTTACAATTCCCAGCAGCCTTTGGCCACTCCAGGGCCCCCACGCCCTCTCCCCACACCCCTTCCTATCCTTCTTTCTTTCCCAGCCACTGTGGGGGCCCCGTCTTGGCGTTAGCCTCCACCCTCTGCCCTCTGCCCAGCCCTCTCCTGCAGCAGCAGAGGCACAGTGGGGCCGGCAGCGCCTGTCGGAATGTTGAACTTCATGGTGATGCCCGTGAGGAGCTGGAGATGCTACTGAGAGGAGGAGGAGGAGGAGGAGGGGACAGAGAAAGAGGGGCAGTGCAGCAGAGAGAGTCAGAAAGAGGGGACAGAAAGGAAGAGAGAAAACGAGGGAGGGAGGAGTTTGAAAGGCTGAGGCTGAGAACCAACCGGCTGGCTGAATGTTAGTCCCGGGCTGCAAGCATCCACCCATCTGGAGAGGGCCCTGGGAGCCGGGTGACTTTCAGCAAGTACCTTAACCTCTCTGAGCCACCACAGCTTCCTTATATTAATCAGGGTTGGGAGGATAGCTAGCCTGCCATCAAGCCTTGGCCCGGGCTCCAGGGATCAAACCTCTCTCCTGCAAAGCATGGCTCCCTCCCCAGACAGGCTCAAGGCAGGGCTCAGGGTTGGCCAGTGATAGGCTCAAGTGCCAGTCCTGTCCCAGGCCCGGCAGGCATTTTGAGGACCCCACAGCTTCTGCAGAAGGAACTGGGACTGTGAGCCTCTAGAACGGAGTTAGGCTAGGCCCCCTTTCCCAGCAGCGGAACCAGGCCCAGAGAGAGAAAGCAGGCCGCCCAGGTTCACAGAGCAAAGTGCTCGCTCTGGGCAGCCCTGGCAGGCCCCTTCGGTGGGAGGGGGAGCCCCAGCTGCGAGCAAAGACGCCAAAGCTGTTGAACACCCCACAGTGTAAGCCCAGCACTCCGTCCCACCTCGGCCAGGACAAGACCTGTCTAGGGTCCAAGTGGCCCGGCCTGGCAGTGCTGGCTGCTGTGGGCCCCTCTGGACACAGCTGCAAACAGGCCCAGCGTAGGACTTGGCCAGCGTCATCAGTGATCACCCTGTTCCCCTCCTCTTCCTCAGAAGGGCTGGTGACCTTGGGGAATGCTAGTTGGGGCTCCTGGGCTCAGGGTTGAGGAGCTGCAGGGCCTTGCTGCAGGAAAGGCTCTTACCTGGGGCCTGGCCGGTCCTCGGGGCAAGAGGAGGAAGTGGGCCGCCCTGGGCCCAGCGGCCTTTTGAGCCGTTAGCCCAGCCCCTGTCGGTTGTTAATGATTACCTCCTCTCAGTCAATACGGGTCACAAGTGGGGTCGAAGAGCAGAAACTCTGGACTGTGCCCGGCAGGGTGGGGCAGGTTCCAGGAAGTGTCAACCGGGTCCCATCTCCCCTTCTGGGGGCATCAGGACACAGCCTGGCCTCCTTCTGAGCCCCACCCTGTAAGGTGGGGACGGCAGTTAAATGCCTGAGGTTCGCACTGGCCTGGGCTTCTGCAGGGTTCACGTGGTGTGAGATCTCCCCCACTGCAGGGGGTACAGGGGTCCTTGGGGCAGGGGGCTCTGCTGCTACCGAGAGGTCTGCACACAACCCAGCAAGGCCAGGGGTCACCTCAACTCAAGCCTCAGTTTCCCCACCCACCCACTCACCGCAGTGAGGTGCTTCTGGGGAGGGGTGGGGAGGACATAAGGGGCAGATCTTGTCCCTAGAACCAAACAATGTGTGTGTGTGTGTGGGGGGGAGTGGGCAACGGCCATTTATGTGCCACTGCGACAGCCAGGACTCCTTCCAAAAGACAGCACTGTTCCCCTCCCCCCTCCAGTGGCCCAGAGCTGGGACATGGTAGAGTAGGATCTGTTGTCAGGGGTCCTGGCCACCTGCTATGGATGGAGTAGAGTCTTCCAGGGCTCAGCCTTCCAGGAGCCACCTCAGGTGACCCTCTGGTCGCTGGTTAGTGGGGCAGGGTCAACGGGGGACCCAAGGCTCGGAGACCCCACAGCACAGCATCCCCTCAGCACCCCAGGGAAGGCTGGACCCAGGGACCCGACAGGGACAGAGCCAGGGCGGCCGCCCCTGGGAGGGTATGGAGGAGCCACGGGCAGGCACGGGAAGTGGGTCCAGGTCTCACCCTGCCCTGCCCTGCCCTGCTGGGTGAAACGGGAGGGTGTGGCGCCCCCTAGTGGGGAGATGGGAGGTGCCAGGGTCAGGCTGAAGCTGGGCCAACAGGGCTGCGCAGGCCCACGGGACCATGGGTTGGCGGTGGGCACAGTTTATTCCACTTCATGCAGACACGGTGACCCACTCACTCAAGGAGCTTAAAAATAATACACTGAGCCACGTCCGTCCCCCACCTCCCCCCAGCACACAGAGAGACACTTGGCTGCGTGGGGTCGGGTCTGAGAGTCCGAGGGTCCGGGAGCCTCTGTCAGGAGGACAAGGCAGCAGCGTGGGTCCAGGTGGTGGTGAGGGAGCGTGTCCGTTCTCCCCGAGGAAAAGTGCAGAGATGGGCCAGGGCCCCAGGGCGGGGAGACCCGCCTCACAGCGATTGGCACCGGCCGGCAGACGTCCTGCTGGCGGCCATCCCCTGAAGCGCCGGCCCAGCCATGGCCTCACTCCTCTGGCGGCAGGAAGGAGCTGGCCGGCCGGGTCGGCTGGGCAGTGGCTCTCGGGTCCCCAGGCCCTGTGCTCAGTCCTGGGCTTCCTCCGAACGCCACTTGAGAGCGTGGTCCTTGTGGGCGTCGGGGAGGATCTGATTACGCATGCCCCCGAGCAGGTTGGACGTGGCCTCCGTGGCCAGGATGAGCGGCTTCACCACTGTGGGGGGCAGCTGGCGGATCACGCCTCCCACGGCGCCCGTCAGCCCCTTCTGTTCATGGCCACGAGACGCCACGTCGCAGATGGTCTGAGCCGTGTCCAGGATGCCCTGTGTGGGGGTCAGAGGTCAGTACCCGGTCTGAGCGAGGGGCTGGGGGCGGAGCCAGGGGCGGGGCCTCATTACCTCTCGGACCGTGTCATAGGCCTTGGCCACACCCTCCCGGAGGTCTGCGGGCTGCTGGCCCTTGCGCAGCCTTCGTGCACAGCGCCTGTCCTGCAGGGAGCGCGATATGGGCGCCGCGGGGGACAAGATGTCGTACACCGTCTCAGCTGTGGCCTGGGGGGTACAAGGAGAACCAGGTGAGGGGAGCCCGTCTGGGCAGACCCTAGACCGTCCCTCAGTTCATCCAGAGCCTTCTGCCCCGGCTCAGCCCCCACCCACCCACTCTGCCTCCCCTTCCAAGGTTCTGCCCCTGGGATCAGGGATTTCTGACTCCTGAGCAGACTTTCAGAACCACCTGTGAGGGGAACAAGGTTCAGAAGGCACTAGAGGCTGAAGGTGCCTGGACCGAGGACCCCTCTTCCTGCTGAGCGCCCCATCCTGTCCCCCATGCAGACCTACACGGTGCCTGAGCCCATCACCACCAGGACCCGCTCCTCCCCGCCCCCAGGGCAGTTCCAACAGAGACCTGGGTCCCCCTCAGCCCAGGGATCCCCAGCATGTCATCACACCTGTGTCTTATGCTCCTCTGTCCTAGCTGCCCCCACACCATTCACCCAGGGGCTCCCCACGTGGCTCCCACAGCCCAGCTTCATACATTGGGGTTCCTCTGCACCCACCTCTCTGGTGACCCTGCACTCCACCCCCTCCCTGACTTGAGGTCCCAGATGCTCTGCTGTCCGTCTGCACACCCCCCATCTGCTCTGAGCACCCAGCGCACATCCAGAAGGCTGGGAGTCATCCATCCTTCGGGACTTAGGACAGGGTCCCCCACCCCTAAAGGCCTCCCCACAGCACCACCTCTTCAATGGCATTTATCACATAGAACTCCAGCTGCTCATGTGATGGGGTCCCCTACAACACCTTGGGGACCCCTGTGGGCCTCAAGGAACAGGGTCAGTCCCAGGGCCTGTTTCTTTGTCTGGAGTCATTCCACGGGGAGCTACGTGGGCCTTGAAGGCCCAGACCAGCAGGGCACTCACCCTCCCACACCAGGGGCCCTGTGGGCCTCGGGAGCTTGGACCTGTGGCCTGGCCTAGCTCTGGGACCCCACACGGGCTGCCTGTGCTCTCCCCACTGACTTTCTCTGTAAAACGAGGCCATAGTGCTCCTGCTCAGCACCGCTGTGGAGCAGGGCGGCCCGGCCCGGCCCAGCGAGCACCCACCTGGATGGCCTGCACTAAGCGGTTGCTGAGCTCCAGGGCGGCGGAGGCAGTGGAGGAGCCGAAGGAGGCGGCCCCCCGCTGCAACCCCCGAATGAGGCGCCCGTCCTTGCGGTACTGCTCGATGGGCAGCCACACCAGGTCCCGGAAGCCTTGGACTGGCAGAGAAGGGACTTCAGAGATGGTCTGTCCCCAGCCTGCAGCAGGAGCCCCACGTGCTCCCTGCAACAGTTTCTAGGCCACCCAAAAGCTGCAGTGGTTTCCAGAGCCCCTGACACTCACAGAGCTGGACGACTGAGTGCATGGGGCCCACGCCCCCGAGCAGCCCAGGCAGCTGGTTCTTACGGATGTCCTGTAACCATTCGTTGAGGGCATAGCCCAGCACCTTGTCCACACCCAGGAGCCTGGACGAAAGGACAAGGGAGATAACCACAAGATAACTGACTACCCAGTGTGCTTTGTGGCAAATGCTATGGGTCCCCACCCAGACCCTATAGCTCCCCCTGGCCCATGTGAAAGGACGATGGTGTCCATCTACTGAAGCCCCACGAGGGTGGTGACTTGGCCAAGGCCACATGGCCAGTCAGGAACACCCCAAAGGGAGGCCGGGGCCGTGAGGGGAGGCTGGGCCGCTGGGAGGGGGCTCACCCATGCCGGCAGCAGAGCCGTTTCAGCTTTAGCTCGGAGCAGTTGAGCTGGGCCAGGCCGATGAGGAGGCCAGCAAACGTGCCCTGGGGGAGGAGAGGGGCAGGTTGGCATGATGGGGGAGCTGGGCACGGGGACCTCCCAGCCCACAGGGAGAGGATGGAGGCAGGTTCAGTGGCCGCCACACCTGGGAAGACCAGCCCCATTCAGGGCTTTCCAGGGATCCCGAGAGGGCCTGGCCCACACGGCCACCCTGCCTGGCGGCTCCACTCACCACCTGATCCAGGGCGACGTGCTTTCCGTGGTAATCCAGCCAGATGGGGACCTCAGACGTGAAGCGGAACTCCCTGGTGGAGCAGAGGGGTCTGGGTCGCTGGCACAGCCCCCGCCCCCCAGCGCGGCCCTCGGTCCTTGGGCCCTACCTGAAGTAGATGGGTTGCTGCTCTGACGGGGAGGCCCTTCGGCTGCCACCCGCAGTCTCTTGTGGACCAGTCACCGCTGCGCCCTTGGGCTGCCCATCCTGCGGGCTGCTGGGCCGGACGCAGGCCTCAGGGTGAGCTGCGGGGAGGTCACAGACCAGAGGTGGGACCACAGATGCATGGCAGCCCAGGCTGGGCAGGGGGCAGGAGGCCTGGGCCCTCCCTTCCCGGGCAGCTGCTCACCCTCGGCCGGAATCATGGGGTTGATGCCAGCCGCCAGGTTAGTGAAGAAGTCCTTGAGGAAGAAGAGGGCGTCCTGCCGGGGAGGGAGCGGACAGCTGAGGCGCAGGCCCGGAGCTGGGGGTGCCCTGGGGCTCTGCCCGCCCCACCCGGCTCACCTGGTCGATGTTGAGGCGCAGGGGCATCAGCGAGACCCGCAGGCAGCACTCGGGGCTCCCCAGGCTGGTCGTGGGGGCCACGTGCAGTGCTTTGATGGTGAGCTGGGGGCACAGGGCATGCTCTGGGTGTCTGGGTCCCGCTCTGGCCCTGCCGTAGCAGGGTACCCACCCCGCCGTCCTCCTCCCAGCTCAGGCCCAGGAGCAGCCCGGGGTGCGTGTCGTGGGTCCCGTACCATGTTGGAGTGGGCGCGCCGCGGCATGCGCTCGCTCGTGTGCAGGTACAGGAACTTGTTGATCTGGGAGGACGCCAGGCGGTCGCGTACCTCCAGCTCCTGTACAATGAACACCTGGCGGGACAGCGGCTGCTCCTCCAGCCCCAGGCTGGGCGCCGCCTCCGTGGGGTACACCTCGTGCTGGAAGCTCACCTGGGGGGCACGGAGCCCTGAGCTGGGGGAGGGTGGATGGGGGGTGGGGGGCTGGGGCGAGGAGAAGGGGCCCGGGGGCAGCCTGGACACCTGGAGGAGTGTGTGTGTGAAGGTCTGAGCCAGGGCAGCTGAAGCTGAGGCCGAGGGGGTAGCCTGACCCTTGACCTGGGCGCCTCCCCATCTGAGCCCCCAGGACAGCCCGAGTGCCCTCAGTCTCGTGCCGCAGCCCTCTGCCTGTTGCGGACCTGTCTCAGCTCCCTGAACGCAGCCCTCGCTCCGGGCCGCCGCCCTGCGGCTCCCTCTCCTCCACAGGTGGCTCTCCCAGCTCGTGTGGGACCCAAAGAGCATTAATCTCAGCTCCCAACAGCTGTGCACCGTCACCACCTCCTGAGCAGCCGGCAAACGGGCGCCCAGCACCCAGCAGGGTGCCCAATCCCTGCCTGCTCATGTCTCAGGTGGAAACCTGAGTGTCACTCTGGGCCACTCAACTCTCAGACTCCTGCCCACTGTCACAGTGTCCAGAACCTGACCACCCCCACACTCTACAGCCACACCTGTGACAACCAGTGGGGTCCCGTGAGAACCCAGGTCACATCGTATCTCGTCTGTCCTTCTAAGGACTCTCCAGGCTCCGACCTCACCGTGACTGGCCAGGCCAGCCGTCCAAGGCCGCCACACCCCTCTCCCCTCTCCCCTCTCCCCTTCTGGGCTGCCGCGCTCGCTCATCTCCGGCCCTGCCGGCTCCCTGCTGTCCCTGACCGGCCACGCTCTTCCCTCACTTATTGCCTGGGTCCCTCCACAACAGCAACAGGGAGGCAAACACGGCTCTATCAGGCCTGGTGCGTGGGTGCTGCCGGCTCTGTAACTCGTGCCGACTTAGCGAGCCAACGCGGCCGCAGTGAGCTCCGAGGAGTGACGTGTCGGCTTCCCCGTCCCCGCCGCCCGCCGGCTCACCTTGCTAAGCTGGATCTCCATGAGTACGTGGTGCTGCCGCCCACTGCCCCCCTGCGTGCGCCACGAGTTCTGGGGCCGGTTGGAGCCGGAGCAGCGGGAAGGAGAGCTCCTAGGGCCCGAGAGGCCGACTTTCGTCCTAGGAAGGTGGACCGGGCACAAGCTGACACAGAGCCACCCCTGCTCTCCTTTCAGGAACTCCCTCGGCTCAGCCCAGGAAGGTGGGTGGGGCAAGGACACTCGAGGAACCTGAGCTGGTGAAGGATGGATCTGGTGCCAGGTGACCCAGGCCCCCATCTCCGTGTGGGCGGGGCTCTGCCACCTGCTGCTACCTGCACTGCCTGCTCCTCACCTGTGGGCAGGGTGGGGGCTGAAGTCTCGGCCACCGTACAGGTGCCAGACCAGGGAGACCTCGCGAAGCACCACGCGGCTGCTGGGCACTGGGAAGTGGGCGGGCGCCCGCAGCAGGTCCGTGCTGCCCAGCGGCCGGGAGAAGTGCCCGTCCTGCACGACGATGGGGTCTGGATGCAGCTGTGTCACCACGGGCTCCCCGTCTCGGGGCTGTTGGTGGGGGGGTGAATGAGCAGTGGGGTGCACACAGTCCCGGCCCTGCCCTCTCTCTTTCCCCCAGTTTCTGACGTAAGATGGCCCTCCTGGGCTGGCATCTCTAGAGCCGGGTCTGAGTGGCTGGCCAGGAGGGTCTCTGTGGCCTTATTCCTGCCCAGCCTGGCTCTCTGGGACGCAGCTCTTACTGGCAGAGTTCAGACTGTCCCCGCTGGCCCCTGACACCGGAGGTCAGAGGTCAGCCCTCAAAGCCAAAGAGCTCTCCTCACCTGCTGCCCTGCCCCCGCCCCAGTCCACCACATCCCTCTGCCCTACCTTCCCTCCTCCTCACCCTGCTGCCCCTGCCCCCTCCCCAGGGAGGCCCTCCTCCCCTCCCCAGGGAGGCCCTCCTCCCCTGGAAATCCAAACACCCTTCAAAGCTCAAGGTCAGGGCTGCCTCCCCAGGGAGGCCCTCCTAGCCCCACGGGACCCAGCACAGCCTCCCTGAGGATGGTGAAGGCCTGCTGTCTGTCTCGCTCACGGCGAGAGCCCTTTAAAGGCTGGGCCACTCCTTTAGCGGCTCAGCACAGGAGCCACTCCACGTGAGCCTCTGTCCTGCCCACTGCCTCTGGCTTCTCCCTCCCTGCCTCCACACACCGGGATGCCCAGGCCGGGAGCATCAAGGATGCAGAATTCGTCACTGTCCAGGGTGTCCCCGTCCGTCTCCTCTTCCTTGTCATCTTCCTTGTCCTCCGACCCCAAACTGCCACCAGAGGCCCCGGTGGACGGCGACGGGGGCGGGGCCCCGCTCCGCTCACCTGGGAACAGGTAGACCGACACAGGCGAGGCCTGAGGGAGGGTGCCGCCTGTGGGGGAGAGAGGCCAGTGTTGGGGTGCGGGCAGCACGCAGTCTTCCCGTGCCTGCTGGTCCCCAAGCCCCCTGCTGCCCACCTGCCGGCTGGGCCAGCTCCCGCAGGCTGCGCCCGCTGTCCAGGAGGGCATCGGCCAGGTCCCGCTGGTTGATGAGGGCTGTCTCCACGGGGGGACAGGAGGGCAGGGAGGCAGGGCTCTCAGAGAGCTGGGCCAGGCGGGAAGGAGAGAGCAGTGAGTGGCCCGAGGCAGGGACAGGCCCCCCCCGGGGCTCCCCAACCTCAGCCCTGGGGTCCATGGCAGGGGAGGGGGCCTGGCCGAGCTCTGGTAGCCTGTGTGGCCAGGCCTCACCTGTACCTTCTGGCCGGCGATCTCCGTGGGGCTGGGGGGCCGGGGTGGGGGGTGCAGGTCGCCCACACTCGTTACGTACTGCAGCAGGTTGATCAGAAGGGCACAGGAGTCGGCACAGCTGTGCAGATGCACCACGTTGCTGGAGCACCGTATCTCGAACAGCGGCTGGCTCTGGGGGGTGGCGGGTGGGGCGTCAGCACGGGAGCCACCCCACGGGTCCGTCCCCCGCGCTCCGGGCCGGGCCTTCCCCCCCAGAACCTAGCTGTCCTCCCAGGTGCTCCTGCTCCCTCTGCCTCATGCACACAGGGGCGCAGACTGCGGCTGGAGAGGGAACGGGAGGTGGCCCAGGGCTGCCTGAGGAAGCAGGTGGCACTCCAGGTGGAGGGCTCCCTCCCCACAGCCTGCTGTCCTCATTTCACAGGGGTCTGACTCCTGGGGTCCTGCTCTGTCCCTGGCTGCAGCCGCCCTCTGTGATGGGGCTCAGACCCATTCATTCGTTCACTCATTCACTCAGCAAACATACAGGGACACCCTTGGCGGCCCGTCCCGGGAGAGGTAATAACTGATGCCCAGGAAGGGAAGGCGGGCCCTAGAGGAGAAGGTGTGCAGGGTGAGGAGGGCTGTCCCTGAAAGCTCCCTGGGCTCTGGGGACTCGGGGACAGGCCACACTCACCAGTTTACCCTCAGTGTTCCCCTTCCAGGTTTTGATCACGAGCTCCAGGAGGTCAACATCCAGGACGCAGATGTAATCTGGGGCAGAAAGAAGGCAAGCGGGCGTTCCAGTGGCCTCCTCACACCCGGCCTCTGCCCGCCACCCAAGGGACAGTCCTGGGGTTTAGCCAAGTATGCCCCTCCTGGGTGCACACGCGTGGGGCGCGGGGAGGGAGCCCCGGCTGGGCCCTGCACACCTCGCCGTAGATCCAGGGTCTCCATCTCACACTTGTCGGACAGGTACAAGGCGGAGTCGTCCAGAATGAACCTGGTAGGGAGCAGGGCTGAGAAGGGCCCAGAGCCGCAAAGCGCTGAAGCACCCAGAGCCAGGCAGAGCTGGCAAGGGACCCCGAGGGGTCCCCAGCCCACAAGACACTGGATTGGTCCTCCCAGCGAACTCTGGAGGGGCTGGGCCGACCCCGTCTCGGCTTCCGTCCTGCCCGCTGCCTGCGTGCGGCCCAGCCCGCACCGTCCCCTCCTCAACATTCTTACCTGTACAATGGGGAGCATGGGTCCCGTGTCCCAAACACAGGCCCATCAACAGTTAGCGCTTACTAAGTGCACGTGGGCGTGGTGTGGGGCAGCACTGAGAACTCCCACAAGTATTTCCCGCTCCACCTCACCTGGGCCCCATACCCAGCCCGGGAGGGACGCGTCCTTTTAACCCTACAGCTGTCCTCACTTGATCAGTAACATACCTCGAACGTCTTCAAGACATTTTAGAAAACAGCAATGAGAAAGAAGGTTAAAATCACTCGTGACCCCTGACCCCTAATCCTGAGAAAATGATCCTTTTCTACAAAGAAAAGCCTTTTCTGTAGTTTTTCACTAAATACCATGTGATGGTGTTTGCCCTCGTTTTCAGCCCTAGCAGTTACGTGGTTTCCCACCCCCTGAGCAGCTGCAATTCAGTCGTTTTTAAGGAGCCCTCGTGACACAATGGCTAAGTGCTCCCCTGCTAACCAAAAGGTTGGTGGTTCAAACCCACCAGCCACTCTGCAGGAGAAAGACATGGCGGTCTGCCCCAGCCCATAGCATCTCTGTGAGTTGGCACTGACTCTACAACAGTGGGCTTTGCTTGAGGTTGTTTCTAAGTTATGACCATTCCAAGTCATGCCACCAGAACCAGCCACTACCGAGTGTGTCAGAGTAGAACTGGGCCCCGGGGGTTTTCGACGGCTGATCCCTCAGAAGCGGAAAGCCAGGCCTTTCTTCTGGGGTGCCCCTCAGCAGCCAAGCGGATCACCTTGTGCATCCCCCAAGGACTCCAAATTATACCACGGAGGCATTGTCTGCCACCTCTCTCCTCCTCGTCTCCCTAGGACAGCCCCAGAAAAGGGCCAGCAGGTCAGAGACAGCACCAACTCTTCTGGCTCTGTTCCCAAGCTTCTAGCTCCTTCCAGGAAGGTGGAGGCAATTTGTGCTCCTGGGGAGTGGCCACTACCCAGATGGCAGAAGGCCCAGGGGTATGGTGGCGAGGCAGCGTGCTGGGTAGAGCACGGGGACAGCCTGCCTACCTGAGCAGGAAGGTGGAGGTGTCCATGATGATGTTGCTGGACAGACTGAAGGTCTCGGCAGTGATGAGGACACGCACAGGGAGGTAGAGAGGCCTGGGGGTCACGCTCGGGTTGGAGCAGGCTCCTTATAGCCGAGAGCCTGCCCCCAGCCCCCGGCCCACCCGACCTGGGTACCTGTAGTCCACGGCGCACGAGAACAGATGTGTGTGCAGAACTGTGATGACTGTTGGGGGCAGGTAGCCGAGCACTGGGTCATCCAGCACTTCCAGGAACTCCAGTAGCTTTGGGGGCCGGAGCAGGAGGCATGGGGACGAGGCAGGCTCTTCCCCTCCTGACACCCACCCACCACAGCCCAGCTCGGGCTCCCCTTGCCACACAGCAACACAGCCCCCTCACACCCCTGCCCAGGGCGCTACCCTCATGGTGGCCTCCTCCCAGCCAGAAGACCCACCTGGCCACAGGCCCCACCAGTGTGCTCACCTGGGAGTGCCAGCTCTGCTCAGGCAGGGCCATGCAGTGACGCAGGGTGGCTCTGTGGAATCGCAGTGTCACCAGGAATTCCTGGGGGGTGGGGGGACACCCAGTCAGGGCGATGAGAATGCAGCCCTGCCATGCTCCAGGGAGGCGGTCACCCCTGCTGAGTGCGTGGCCAGTGAGTACCTTGACGTTCTTATGAGGGTCCAGGTGGATGCGGACAGCGGCGGACAGCATGTGGGGAGCCCGGCCCTGGCCCTTGCGGCTCGAGGCACCCCGCTCAGCCACCCCTTCCTCCGAGGGGTAGATGGTTGGGGACAGTTGGGCTGGAGGCGTGAAGCTTGGAAGCTCCAGGTGAGTGGGCAGTAGGCAGTCATCCATGACCGCTGTGGAGGGGACTGGGTGAGTCCCCGCCGGGATGGCCGGCTCCACCCTCCAGGGACACCTCCCTCCCCCCGCCCCGCCCCGGGACCCTTAGCCCCCAGCCCTCACACCTCGGTGGTAGAGGTTGGCCTTCTCAGCCTCCAGGCAGAAGTAGCCGAGCCCTGGCTGGCCGAGGTGCTGGGAGACGCTGAACAGAGTGCAGTGTTCCACGTCCAGCAGCAGCTCCCCGTGCACACCCTCCAGCCGCTGCCCACCCTCGCCCTGTGGACAGAGCACCGGGCCGACACTCAGGCCGTGAGGGGCTTCGTGGAACCCTGGCCCGATGCAGTCAGCTCCAGTGCCCACCCTCCGTGGGATGCCCCGGGCAGCACCTGCCTCTTGCCAAGAGGGCGGACGACCACCTGCCCCCTAGGGACCAGGGCATGCTGATTCCAGCCCCAGGGCTGACAATTGCTGACAGCAAGTGATTAGTGGATGATGGGTGCAAGGGGACGTGTGGGCCAGAGAAGGAAGCCCAGCCTGCCTAGGCCTGTGTTCCCACCTTCCCCCGGGGGGCTGCTCACAGTCAGTGGGGGTGCTGAGGTAGGGCCCCCTGCCCCGGGAGGCAGGCCCAGGTGTCTGTCGCAGGCACGCGCACCTTGGTCTCACAGAAGGCAGTGACCCGGCCCTTCAGCACTGTCACCAGCGTGGAGAAGGTACTCTGGGAGTGTGGGCTCGGGGGCTTGGGTGGGGAGGGCTGGGGGGCGCCCGATGCACCCACTGAGAAGAAGCGGGTGTCCTCATCCTCGGAGTCTGAGTCTGGCGGGGAGATGAAGGCAGTGGAGTCGGAGCAAGATCCGGGGATCCCTGGGCACTGAGCCCCCAGCCCCACCCTGGCAGCCCCATACCCAGCTTGAAGGCTGACTTGCACATCTTGAAGGGGCCTTGGAAGCCAGGAAAGTGCGTGGAGGGGCCGGGCGTGGGGAGCAGGTCGGCGGGTTCCCACATGAGCAGGTCATTGTTAATCCTAAGACAGGAGGGGGTGGAGATGAGAAAGGCCAGGGACCCGCCCTGCCTGTGCCCCCCCGCAGCACGCACCCTGTGTCCCCACCTGTTATAGATGCTCTCATAGACCTCCTTGCTGGGCAGGAAGACGTGGGCGCTGGGCAGGGTCACTTCCAGGCTGCAGCGGGACAGTGCCAGCGTCCGGTTCTGGAATGCCCTCATCTCCTCAGGGTCTCCAGGAATCACCATCTGGACAAGGGGCGAGGGGCAGAACCTTAGTGGGAAGCGACAGACAGCCCAGGCTCGCGTCCCGCCCCTCCCACGCCGGACATGTACCAGCCACGTCCCACACAGCGTTGACTGTTGGGAAGCGACGGACAGCTAGCCCAGGCTCGCGTCCCGCCCCTCCCGTGCCGGACGTGTACCAGCCACGTACCGATGGACAGCCCAGGCTCGCGTCCCGCCCCTCCCGTGCCGG